TTCCTCTTGAACTTCGTTTGAACCTTCTGTTAGTCTATGTGGGTGAGCTAGTGCTAAGAAAGTTGTGTAAGAGGGGTGCTGTGACCTTTGGTCGGTTGGGGTTTCCACCCCCATGCCCCGGTTTCTTCTAATAATTCTAAGTGGATTTGCCAGCTTTTCGAACCCACGACACAGTATGCAAACAGGAAGATGATACACAATCCCCGAGGACTCTGTTTTTCGTTGCGAGAATGTGGGAGGGCCGTCACAGATGGATGAATAGGAAATGGTGGCTGGGAAAAAGTTTACGGAAAAAAACAGTCCCTTCGAACCTTCGACAACTACTCGACTTCACATGTATCAGTTTGATATTCCCCAGTTTACCAGTTGTAAGAGGATAAAAATCAGTTATTCTCATATTTTCACCCAAAAGCCCATTAGTCATTGCTTCCAAAAGAATGAACCACACATTGGACTCCCAAAGTAGCAGCCCTGGAGCGCGAAATTTTCCCTCGTCTTAGATATTGCACCGAATGCAGAGACTATATACCGTTTTCTCTGTGGTGGTTTGTCAACAAGGGAGAGTTAATGAACGCACCAACTAAACGCTGGGATGGTTCACTTTGGAGATTCATACCAGCCCGTGAATGTGACGATTACGAGATCTCGTTTCCCAAGACGTGGTGTTGTTTGCAGGAGACATGCTGACAAAACGTTTGACCCTTTCCGCAACTTGAAACATCGTCCATGTAGTTTCCCCTACAACCAAAAGCCCTGACACGACCTTTTGAATGAGTTGTTCCTAGTACTAATATAGATCACACTGGACAGGCCTTTGTTGACGAGTTTGATTTGACAATTCAATCATGAAGACCTTAGTGAGGCCCACTCTGGGCTCCGTTATCAAGTTAATCCAACACTGGCGACGGTGTAGATTGCTGCATAAAATAAGTAAATGGGTCTTGATAACCAGATAGAACCGAAAGCAATCAACTGGTTTAGATCGCTCCAGTTCGTTTGCACATTCTTAAAAAGCAACGCCATGCAGAGCGAGTGCGGTGAGCTAATATGCACGCAGGAGGTGTCCTGCAGGATGACAATGTGAGATAAAGTGAATGAAGACAACTATGTTACGAATACATTTATACCGTTCCTGGCCGCTTCGCCCTATCGCACTGCGTTGCAATCCGTGTGATCGATGTTAGCAACCTTAAAAGAAGCTGAAACAAATCAGCAAACCATCATATATCTGCGTCCCGTCATGTCGCCAAACAATCAAGCGAAAAACGCGACCGCACTCTGAATGAATAATGCACATCCAGCTCAATATGTGTGGTTCTTTGTAAGACACCGTCTACCCGAGGTGAATCCTAGAAACTAGCGGTCTTCAACCCCTGGTACATAAGACAAGTCCTAGCATGCAGTGAGGCAGACTTCGGTTTGCCGGAGACCAAATAAGACAAACTAACCGTTTCTTGTTTAAAAGAAGCTAACTTGGACGCACTACGCGGACCTCATTGGGAACTCGTTAGTTATTGGCTGACAGCTAAAAATGTCGTCAAACCCGATCAAATGTCTCGTCGGAAGCCTGAGCCACCAAAACATCTAGGGTACAGTAATTAAACACGGTTAGTAAACTGCAAGGGTCGTGTTTCACACGGCCACACACCGGCCCGCACATCCACGGCTGATCTGAGAAAGCATGTCGCTACAAATGTAACGGTGATACCAGTGATGGGGAGGCATGCGAGTAGTATGTGTTATTCTTGGAATCTCGCTTTGTGTCTCTTTAAAAGGGGAGATCTGTTGCAGAGTTTGTGGAGTCGCTTTGTAACATTTGCTTGGATTTGAGCAATGAATGATTGGAGTCAATGAATATCCGAGAAAGTTTGAGAAGACGCGTTCAGGAGAAGATGGATGTCCAGTTTGTGTAACTAAGATGCAAATGAGTTCTGCTTCCCCGTCGAATAGTCTGTAACTGATCAGTTGACATTTTCTGATAGATAACTCCGCAGCGAAGGCCTTCTTCCTTTCACAAGTAGTCGTATAATTGAATACATGAAATTTAACGGAATTTCGCAACCCAAAAACCTGAAAAATTCTTTTTGTTTTTGTTTTACATCAACAGTGCATCAGGAAATGTGTCTCGTGAATAGTTATGTTTTTCAAAAGTATTTAAGGAAGCAACACACTTGAACAATGATAAATAAACTAATTTGTGCATAAATAAGGGAAGAACGAATGAGAAATGGTTGTTGCGGCCAGCAGAATGCGGGACCAAACCGACTTTGCGCCTCGGTAGACCGCGCCGCGCACTTTCACTGTGAGGCATGTAGTTTTCATGATTTGGGGTGCCCATCTGGTCAGCGAACCGCACTAGTAATTGATAATCCATCATTTTGAACCAATGTCACGTGATGCATAGCTCAATCTCAGGAGAAAATTGCAGCGTTCATAGAGGACAGACAGGCCATGCGGTGCAAATACCAAGGTGTGTGTGTGTGTCTAGGAGACGGACATGTTCGAGCACTGATAGCATCAAGACAGTCCTGTTTGTCGCAGAGAAAATACTAGAATAATTCATAAATGTTGCTTCTCAGAAATACAAAGAGCAAAGACATGGATGAAGGCAATTAACGAGTTTTGAAATCCATTTGAACAGGAAGTCGTCGCCGAAGTTCACGAAGTGAGTTTCGAACTGAAAAACCGAATATTTCGCTCAGATTAGACCAGGTGCCTCTATCGTACGGATGAGCTGAATGGCTGGGATTAATAAAGTGACCTCCGTCGCCAAATATTTTCCGATTTGTCTTGGTAGTTGTCAGCTGCGTGGAGCGCCTTCGATTTCGACTGTACTCGTAACTTGTCTGATTCGTACAGACTAGCCATGCATGGAATGCCGTGTACCCTCCGAGAAACAATCCGATTATGCAAAGAACAGTCACCATAGCAACCACGAGTGGAAAGGACATGAACAGGTGCTGTAACAATAAAGAAGTTGGAAGGTTATTACGGATGACGAACCGAAAAATAGACGTGATACACTACTCATAAGGTCGCTGAAACGAACGAACCGAACTGTTTCAATGGTTAGAGCACTCAGCATGAAGTAGCCATTATAACGATCATGTTGTACTGTGAAGAGGAAATTTCTCTCTATAAGTGAGTGGCGATATTCCGTACCGCTTCAAGAGCTTCAACAAAACTTATACCGGTCAACGGCACTCACGCAACCGCGCATTAAGGATGCCTCTTCTAACAGTGACGACAGATTTGCAAGGCGAGCAGAACAACAGCCATCGCAGAGCAACTACTAATAGATGCACTCGACCTACCGATATTCAAACACATTCCTAGCTAATGGGTTGATTTGCATTTATCGAGTTGGGCCATTCCGCTGCGTCAAACCTCACGCGCAGTTTGACAAAACTTAAAAGGAAGTGTTTAGCAGTCCGGTGGGAAGTAAAATAGGATGTTGTTCCGCCAACACAATTTTACATGATCATATCGTAACCTAAAGTGAGGAGAGCTCCGGTGCAGAGGTCTGGACCCATGGAAACTGGATACAAAAACGTTATGCTCGAGGCAAATTACTCAGCAGTGAGTGCGATCGCACACGATCAACCGACCATCGCGAAGCATAAATTATTTCTCCTAGAATCGCAGGCCAATGTTGTGGGAAAATGACGCAACCTTGTCCGATATGAGTATCTGATAGTACAGAATACCCCATGAATAAACATCACTTTCGTGAAAGGAGAGTGTTCTGTTTTCGGGCAATCGAAGACAACAGTCCTCATTCTCTCACGACAGATCCAGCTGGAGACAAAACAACCCCGTTAAGGTCGACGTAGTGTAGATTTCACCTCCTCAGGAAAGTTAAAAAGCCCAAATACAGGTAAGCGCCCCTTCCTCCTAGAATTGTTGCATGAATTATTGTATGCCTGAAGAAAACCGGACCATATCAGACAGTGTTTCTGGGCAAATTAAATTCCCTACTCTGAGGTAGAAAAAAGATATAAATAAAAGATGCTCGTCCAGCTGTAACACCCCTATCGGTGCTAAGCTGCCATGCCAACGGAAGGAAACACAAGGGGTCGGATACTGCCAGGTTGCCCAAGGCTAGGCAGGAGAAGTCGACAGGTTGAGTTCGAACTACGGGCCTTTCGACCAGTAAATTCGCGCTCTAACCACTGAGTCATCTCGCCCCCCTACTCTGAGGCAAAAGTTTCCAAAACACCCTGGTGGTCCCATAAAAACGCTGGTCCCAGCTGAAGCTCAAAACTTCGTGAAGAGTTTTCCTGGAAATTCATCTTCTGAGTGCACTTCAACTTTTCTCCAGGCGATGAATCCGTTCGTCGCATGTGGTGGAGAGCTAATTGCATTCAAAAACGATTAGCATCTTCGGCGATGTTGGATAAACACATTTCTAGAATATTGTTCCCTACTGTCTGCCAAATGCGATTAAAGGTTACTGGGTTTTGGCGCTACCGACCAACTTAACGGTGGATATACGGTCAGGATATACGGGAGGACAACCTACTGCTTGTTCTACGAGAGGCCCAGTCGATCAAGTCGGACGAACATATTACTATTCCAAGTCGGAGTTTGTTAGGCCCCAGAAAATGAAAGACCAAGTTGAAGTCCATTCATGTATACCCCAACCCCGTACTCTACAAAAGAGGGTGTCTTTTCAAAAGTGGTTTTTTGAACTTTCCATCAGGTGGTTTCCTACCCTAATTAGCCGGCCGTTGAAGAGAACCATGGTGAGAAGGAGTGGCCTTTGTGAGGAAAGGGCTATTCTTAGGTGGATTACTTCAGAGGCCAATCAGCCAATAACAGTTCAAGGTTGTTCCTTTCCCGCCACTGCTTCCTATTACGCATGGGCGTAAGCAAACAAAACATGTCAATAGTTGCGGTCTGCTGAAAAACAGCTCTAACACAGTTTAACCACACGTGATGGTCTTCATGCGAATGTAGATGGCAGAAAGGTTAAAGCCCGTGTTCGGAGAAACCGATGCATGAAGGCAACTAAGCTGTAACAAGCCAAATTTCATTACTATGAAAAATAACCGTATGAACGAAACCAGCCCGTCTCAAAATACTTACCTGAATGAGCGCGGGCCAGCTCATTTCATGCACTTCTCCATCCTCGCCCAAGTATTGTGCAGACCACAAACGTTGCTGCTGTGAAACGAACACGTGAGATCGGAAGAGAGATATTCTTCACATGCAGTCAATCTGACGGGCAACATCAACCGAGTACACTCACACGAAAGAAGAACGGGGCACTGCACAGCAAACATTAAATGCAAGGTCAAAGAGATCAATTGAAGGTCGAAGCAGACTTAAACCCCTGGCTAAATGTATCGTCAGGTTCGGTTGTGCACTAAGCTTCAGCTGACTAGCCACTGGATCTGTAAAAATGAATCAGTTATTGATTTCCCAACAGATCAGCTAACCACACTCCCTACTGTTATCCGTCTGATGCGGGTTCATCACCATCATCGACAGCATGACATCAGTTTTCAACACCGATGCTCCGTTGCCTTATTATAAAGAAAAGGGTAAAGGTGGACGGGAAAGGAACTTAGTGCTAGCTTACCACAGTCATTTCGAGGTGCCTATAGCTCCAGACATTCATTTAGGCAATCTGGATGGAAACCGACAACAAGGACGCCACTAACATCAGTTGACAGCCATATCTTGTAGTATCTCCAACCAGGCACAGTGAGGATCACGCGGTCGCCATCCTGGAAGGCGAGTAGCACCGACAGCACCCAAGCGTCTCGTGATCTCCTTCATACTCCTCTGCCAAGTCAAGGGTTGGCCACATCTCTGTTTATGCCACTCTGAATTGGGTATGGAAAACAGCACTCTCTTCAGCAAACGATGGCCAGGCATACGCAACACATGTCTCAACCAACGCAGCTTCTGGTGCTGGACACATTCTTCAATGGAAGTAACCGTTGCACAACCAAAAATGCGCTTTCTAACTGCCTCCTTATGGATTTGCCGACACCAACCCACACGAGCTATGGTTCTGAGACAACGATTGTCGAACACCTGAAAACGTCTCAGGTCCGCTGCTCGAATAGGCCAAGTCTCACAGCCATACAACAAAACAGCCCGTACTGTAGCTTGATACACA